TAACACTAACCTAATCTAATCTAATCTAACGCTAACCCAAATAAGTTGATGACACACATAACACATACCGTAACTTAGGCAGTTTTAATAAGGCGGCGACACCTACAGGAGATGCCTCAGGTGACGCCAATAAACAAGAGCAACACAGAGAGAATGAGAGGCAATGGAAGTCACCACAGTAATGAGATTCTGGAACCCCTGGGCGCCTGACTAACAAACCGTAGCCTCTCTCTAACTGTTACCAAGGTGAGCTGTTGACCCAAGGAGAGGGGAAAGGGGGGGAAAGAGAGGGACAAGTGAGGACGGAGGGGGAGATAGAGGAGTGGGGAGAGAGGGGGAGGGTGTGGTCATTAAGGCTGCCTCGGGTCATTACCCCTCCAGAGAAGGTCGACCCTCTGACCACACCTCTTAAGCAACGGAGGAGGGGGGTAGGAAGGGGGGTGTTTTACTTTTTACTCCAGCTATTAAGGTAAACTATGAGGTATTTAACACAAGGTTTACAGGGATATTAAACCCCCCTCTTAACAACAGGTGTAATGATAAACCAACTTTCTTAATAGGGGTGAAGTAAAAAAAATAATAACAATACGCCTGTGTGCTCTGAATCTTAGCCAGGCTGACTTAAAAAAACATCACTTAACACCTCCGTTTAAGGCCTGACCACTTGGGTATGAGTAGGAGGATGAAGGGGAGTAGGAGGAGGAGGAAGAGTAGGAGGAGGAGGAAGAGTAGGAGGAGGAGGAAGAGTAGGAGGAGGAGGAAGAGTAGGAGGAGGAAGGGGAGTAGGAGGAGGAGGAGGGAGGAGGAGGGAGTAGGAGGAGGAGGAAGAGTAGGAGGATGAAGGGGAGTAGGAGGAGGAGGAAGAGTAGGAGGAGGAGGAAGAGTAGGAGGAGGAGGAAGAGTAGGAGGAGGAGGAAGAGTAGGAGGAGGAAGGGGAGTAGGAGGAGGAGGAAAGACATCTAAGGTAAGCGCCTCATTCTTAAACCTTTCAAGTGAAGACTGTGTTGTCAGCCAGACCTTAACTCACAAGAATCACGGCATCAGCTCAAAAAAAAAGTAAAATATTGAACGACTCATAAACAAGGCGAGGAGGAGGAGGAGTATGAGGGAAGGAAGGGGGAGAAGAGAGAAAGAGACAAGGAAGAAGTGGGAGAGTGAGGAGGGGTGGGTGGGAGGGGAGCTAAGGTGGCAGGGGAGGGAGGGAGGGAGGGAGACGCAAGAATCCACCCAGGGATGAAAGCACCTTCAGACAAGCCTGATCTAAGCACACATTACACAGGGATTATTTTTCCACGAATTCCTGTATCAGAATCTTGCCCTCTTGCATACTAGACATTTTTCAATCTTATATACCGCTGGAGCTCAATGGAAGATGTTGAAGAGAGTTCCGGCAAAATTTCCCTTCGGAGTGAGGGAGCCGGGAGGTGCTGGAGGCATTTTCATCATCAGAGCAACCTTGGGAGAGCGTGTGGGGGGCCGGCTATTGTGAGAGCCTGAGACCGGCAATCGTGAGAGCCTGTAACCGGCTATTGCGAGCCTGAGACCGGCAATCGTGAGAGCCTGTAACCGGCTATTGCGAGCCTGAGACCTAATAATGAGAATTAGGGCCTCAGTTTTTAATGGGAAAAATCTTAATGGTTTGGTATTTTTTATTGATCTTAGGACTGAAGCCTATCTGACCTATAATTAATGAAGCAAGAGGCTGGGACATTAACGAACTAACAATAACAACATCCCGAGCATCTCACACAAGCACATCCTCTCAGTTCTCTACCGAATTCTGAAACTGCGCGACACTCCATCTTATACACACACACAGACTCGCCTCAGCCCATCAGGATCCCTCGAGTCACTCACTACCACTCAGAAAAGTTAGCTTTCCTCCAGCAATCATAACTACATCAACAAATATTTATACACGTCGGCAATTGGATGAAAAGAGCAGTGTATATATAACGTTTTTCTTCGTTGATATTTTATTCCTAAGATGATACTTGGATTTAGCTTTTGTTGCGTTTCAATCTTCACCAATTTACTTAAAATGTTCGTAAATATACATATAATACACGCATAAGCATCTAGTACCATGGAGAGACAAATAGTACAATTAACAATAATCCCTAGTAACACATACTGCTCAAGTAATGTAGTCAATCATGTGGCAATTGCATGAAGTGATTTGTTGCATCACTTGAGTCAACAATATCCAAATACGTATAAATGTTGCAGGATAAGTTAGGTATACACACTCACACTGCATGTTTTTAGAAGAATATTAATTTTTAACCAGTATTTAACTATTTTGTAAACGCATGAGCTTATTTTCCCTTAGTGTTCATAGGCAATATTGCAGCCTACTATGTTCTCAAAGGCGCATGGCGGGAAAAAGAGAAGACTTGACTTTTTAAGAAAATTAATTGGGAATCAATTGGATTAAAAATGTATCGTATGATTAGGCATCTATAAAATGTAACTTGTGAAATGTGTGATTGTCAATTATTATAATGTATTTGGTTAGTGATGTAATGAAGAAAAAAAATACGTGTTGGGTTGCAAGAAACGTAGTCTACCTGGGGGACAGACAGTGATAACCATAGCTAGTTTCACATCTATATACAATACTGTACTATTATCACATTACTGTTTTATAATACACCATGATATAATAATCCACCCAATCTGTTTTAAAACCCCTGGCTTGTTCCTGTCTAAATTTACCCCCTCGGTATTGACAATTTTAGGTAACAGTGAACATCAAAGACAGCACTTTTTAATATAGCTCTCTCACCTCTAACTGAACTAGTAAATAAGCCACATATATCACGGCCATCCCACATCAAGTATCCCGTTATATCCAAGTAAATAAAAGTATATATAACGTAAGCAAAAAATAATATACACAGTACTATATAATGCTGTTTGTAGATCTGGTACCTTTTGATGTATACAATATATTTCTATTCACTATTGGCGCTTCAAATGAACAAGAATAACCAACTTAAATTATACAAGACAGAATTACCTTAGTTTATGATGTTTTTATTATTATTATTGGTAGTAGTAGTAGTAGTAGTAGTAGTAGTAGTAGTAGTAGTAGTAGTAGTAGTAGTAGTAGTTTAAGCGTCGTTTGCCAAATATTAAAACATTTGGTTTTTGTCTACTGGGAAAATTAAATTAACAAATTCCAAACATAAAGATGAACTAATTCCATGAGTAGAATATTTTATTTCGTGTCGTTAGTATTAAAGTCATTTTATGAGTTAAAGTCGATAGCATTGATGATCTCAATATATACCCTTGAAAATCACAACATTGAAATATAAGCGACAAAATTAACAAGAATAAAACTGAATGAATAGCAACTCACGTGTCAGCTGCCAGAATCTGTGTGACCTTTGTACTGCCGCCAGTCTGACATATTTTGATACCTTACAGCTTAATCAATAATGAATGTCAATCAGAATTACAATGATACTTATGTAGTTCTGGGTACTTAAGATCGCCTCATTGTTCACGGTAACTGTGACGTTGATGTCAAACAACGTAAATGAAGTTAATTCAGTTCATTTACTGATCAATAGACTCCCTGGTGGTAGGCTGTTTCATCACACTACAAATCCTCTTATATAATTCCTTTAATATCGTTGATATTTTTTTTATAATTTACTAAAATGAGAAACACTTTTGAAGTTTGCCTGACTTGTCAAAAGAAAGGAATGGGTCGTTGCTTATAAACCCAAATAAAAGTAAATTGCCTTTAAGAGAAAACTTTGGCAATTTTAGGGGTGACCACATCAAACTTGGCCAGCCACGCATGAACACCTCACATTTATTCATTTACACTATTAAATAAAGATGAAGTGCTTTATAACACTTTTTTTACATTTTTATATTATATTTATGTTATCTTAATGCTATAATGATATTAGTTGACATTCCTATGGTAGTTTTTGAAGCGTAAGATTATTGTTCGTGTGGGGTTCTAGTGATGCCAAATCTCTCGTGTTCTCCCATTTCCCGCTCCTTAAAACACTCCAGCGTCTGATAAACTTTCTCTTGTCTATTGACATTAATTTATCCTTTTACAAGTAGGGTGCAGTAGTCTTATGAAACTTCAGAACTCAATCCCCCAAAAAGCGTAGATTTAAAAGTTTGTTCGTTTAATTCTTCTGATGAACAAACTTTGATTAAATTTTTTCCCTAACAACAAAAAAGTTCGTTGAAAAATCAGACAAGTGTTCCACTTACCAAAGACAAGACAGTAGAAACAGGATGATTTGAACTGCTAGAAGTTATAATGACATTGTGAAGAGACTCAGGGAGGTCCACACAGTGTCAGTTCTTTACACAGAGTACAATAGTTATTTACATTTTAGTCTAACCTAACCTGACCTAACCTAACCTAACCTAACCTAACCTAACCTAACCTAACCTAACCTAACCTAACCTTTTTCTTATTATTGTGAGATGAAGAGGCAGATTTATAAAGTTACCACACTGCTCTACAGGTAATGAAATATATAGATTAATTCCTCGGTACATGTAAACCTTTCCATCTGTTTCTTCCATCACTTTCATAGTTCAACTTCTCCTTGGCATTTTCCTATCCTATTTATTCACCATTGATCTGTTATTGCAGTGTGGCAGCCTGTCTAGTACCATTACATATCCTACCCAATTTGTTTTCCTCCGATGCAACACAAGTTTTACATAATTTCCATTGAGTATTCGAGTTTTTGTATCCAACTTCTGTATCAACTTTTATAAGGTAAATCGATAGTTTGTTATTTTTGTAATACATTTTCTAAAGACAGTTTGTATGCAGACATTAACTGCATCTTAATAACTGATAAACTATATTATTTGACTACATCTCTACAAAATTTCCTCTACAGCATGAATATTGTCTCCAGTTATATACTGTAGCTAAGAGGAGTTATGGAGAGATCAAGCAACCTACACAGGGCAGATATACAGGTTGGCAAAATAAACAGTATACAGTAACTTATCAATTCATATATTCTGTATATACTATAAATCACCCATATATTCATTGCACTATATACCATTATGCATTTAGTACTATATATTCCAGCCATATATTGTGGGTGTGAAAAAATCAATTATACTCAGTAGTGATAAATCATTTACAGAACAAGACTCATAGATCCCAAGCATGATAAGTGGTACTATTCTATAATCTCAGTTTTAACACAAAGTTTAGAGTATACGCTAGTTCAATTCTTACCACAGGATGAACAGTTACATAATACAGTTTGGGATGTTATGTATGTTCTTCCAGTCATTTTTTTTCCTAGAACAAGAGACTGTGTTAGGGGATATAGGCAATGGTGTTATTCATTGATGGAGGAATTGTATACAGTATACCTAAATGTGGATATATCCTCATGTGTGTGTGTGTGTGTGTGGTATAGACGTATTTCCCTTCTGATTCACCTTCTCCTCCACCCTCTCATTCCTCCCTCTCATCCCTCTCTCTCATCCCATTACTCCCTTTCCTATGTTTCCCTCATTTTCTTGCCTCACCCTCGTTTCCCTCTCACCCTCTCCTCTCCTCCCTCATATTTCATAAGGTCTCACCCCTCACCACTCTCTCCTCACGTCCACACCAACACACACACCCTCTTGTTACCAACCACACCACACGTATACTCTACTGTGTTCCTTTAATACAGTTATGTCAGCCTTCAGATGTTTTCATGAATATGTGTGAGAGTTTCAAAATATACATGTATGAATGAATACCTATACATGCTGTAATATGAGATCCACTAGCATTTGTATCCATTGTCCAAGGAATAAACATATACTGTATTACTGTATTCTTCTGTGTGTTGCTGATGGGTGATGTTGGTTTGTGTTGGGAGGGGAGGGAGGAGGGAGAGGGAGAGACCAACATGGGAGTTTTCTTACAGGTCTGATGTACCATAGTAAAATACTCTGCACATTTAAAACAACAGTAAGAATAAATACAATATACTTTAACTTATATAAAATGTATACTACTAAATAAGTATACTTACACTTATGAAATTGATGTACTGATTTATCTAAACTTACAAAATATAAACTAATCATTTACTTACAAAATGTATATTACAGAATTATCATTACTTGACATACAAACTCTAATTCTTCAATATAAACATCGTTATATTCTGACTACAAAACTAATTCTTTAATATCAATACAGTTCCTAAATCATCTTAAAAATTTTAAATACTTTATATCAAAATTCTATTAATTCTATATCAATTTCTAAATACAAAATACTTATCAAAATTCTATATTAATCTCTAGGTAAAAATGCTTATTCTGACTGTCAGTTCACTATACAGTATATAATCTGATTACCATTATATTTTATTACTACTGTACTTGAGTCCTAGTTAATAAATTCCTACACTATTACTACAATACTGTTCAACACTACAGCTACAGATCATTACTAACTACAGCAAAAGGTCATTGTAGTCATATTGAACTACAAGAAAATCTGTAGACAGACTCAAACACTTATAAAGGTGTGGTTAGGTTAGGTTAGGTTAGGTTTTGATCATCTCCGGGATATCAAGACACATATATAGGTGTTGATATGTTAGGTGTAGGGGTGTGGGTGTCAGGTAGGTACAGGTGTGGGTGTCAGGTGTGTACAGGTAGAGATATGGAAAGACAACGTTCTCAGATAATTTGGTAGGAAGATAAAGGAGGAAAAATTGGCAGAGGGATTTGTAAATATATATGAACATGAAGTAAGGGAAAATAAAGTAGATATTGATGTAGAGAGGTTAAGATTCAACCAGCCGTAACACACACACACACACACACACACACACACACACACACACACACACACACACACACACACACGCAAGGTTTCCCCACGACCAATGAAACTGTGACGGCCGATTCCTCCACTGTGGCATTTGTGGTGCGTGTTGCCCTCGGCCTAGCACTGTACATTCGAGCTGTGAATTATTTGATTGTGTTACGCAGTCTGATTTTTGCTTTTATAAAATAATCTCTACAGCAATATTTTAAAATGCTTTAGAAAATATTCGTTCAGGCACATTAATTGTTGTTGTCGTTACAAAAAGTCGTTTTCTTATTATAAAATACTGAATTTTTAAAATCAATTGATTTCAAACACGCTACTGAAAAATTTGGAGAATATAAAAATAAAATAATTCTCAGGACGTTCACGTTGATCCATATTGATTATACTACTGTATTAATTTACCGTGAAAATAAGGTTTATATCACTGAACTAACATTTCTGAGGGAGAGAGAGAAATGTAAGTACGTCTTGACATTAGAAGTGAGCTGTTGAAAGGCTTTTGAGGGAATATTTGGCGCTGGTACCAAAGGGGTCCGCCAGAGTGCCACTTATAGTGAAGATGGAGTACCGTGGGGCCCTGGGGTAAAGGGGGGCGTCTGGTCGCTGTGGATCGTCCTCGGACTCTGAGAAGGTGGAGTAGCACTCTGGGTGAATCCCTGACAGGCTGGGACACTGGTCGCCTCGTCCACTGGAAGCTGGGGTCTGAAAGGCCAACCTGGAGACGTCCGTGCCTGAGTGCCCACTTGTGTCGCAGCTCTGGGACAAGTGCTGACTCGAGGACTCCTCGTAAGGGCTCCAGGAGTCGTAGTTTTCTGCTGGTTTAGAGGCCTCGAGGCGATCACAGGGGTAGTGAGGGTGATAAGACGAGAACGACTCCGAGAGAGACGACGAGACCAACTCGTCCTCGACATATCTCGTCTCCGGAATCCTCGAGGACGAATACTTACAACACATGTCACTCTCTCGTCGGCCTGAGCGGAGGACTGCGTTTAATCTCACTTGGAATTCGTCTCCAGCTGTGTTATGATCGTTGAGCCTGCTGCTGTGGCACAAGACGCCTCTAAGGGCGTGAGGACCCGCCTCCTCGCGGGATCTGACGAAGGAGTGAGAGGCAGCCAGGTTCTCCTCCACTCTCTTAGGGCAGCGGAGAAAGATGGGTTCGACATGTTTTATGTGGGAGGTCCCCGCTGACGGCGTCGACTGAGACACCACCTCACTTGTCGACACGAAGGCACTCGACTCCTCGTCCTCGACACTGGGAGAGGCCAGGTGTGTCTCACTGCCTCTACCTCCACCTTCCTTCTTGACCTCGCAGGTAGAGGAGGTGGAGGAGGGAGAGGAAAACAAGGAAGAGGGAGAAGAGCAGGAGGGGGAGGAGGCCACTGAGGGTGGGCCATCTGTGTGAGGCACATCAGTAGTGTTGTTGTTGACGGCCGCGATGATGGCCACCTTGGACACAGACGACGATGATGACGTGGAGGAGGACGAGGAGGAACTTGACGACGAGGAAGAAGAGCGAGTCCGTTCATCACGTAGCGACGCTGACAACCTCTGGCGGGACACACGAGCCCTGGGGAGAAACACACACCATTATCACCACCAGGAACAGGTCAAAACACTAATGATTTACACAACTTCAAGTCTACATCACCTCAGTAACTATTAACTTCCCTTATCCATTAATAGACCATAAAATGATTTATAAATTTAAGATTTTCTTTGGTTATTAGCTGAGGTACATAGTTATGGCCTCAAAGGGGTACAATGCTTTACCTCATGGCCTCAGGGGTACAAGTTTACCTCATGGCCTCAGGGGTACAAGTTTACCTCATGGCCTCAGGGGTACAAGTTTACCTCATGGCCTCAGGGGTAATTCAGTTTATGCAAGGTGAAAGACTTGAGGGGCACCAGTGAATCGCGCTCACCCTGGGCCAACTTCCTAAGTAGAGAGAGAGAGAGAGTCATGCAGGCCACTTGAGCCAGCTCAATATATCTGACTCAGCCACATTCTGGAGTTCACTCTCTCTCTCTCCTCACTATCCTAGGCTCTTCCCTCACTATCCCACCCTCTTGCCTCACTATTCTACCCTCTTGCCTCACTATTGCTTCAACCTGTCCATTAATTTATGAAAACTCACGAAAAACTGCGTCTTCATCACTACTGGTCCGCCATGTTCCCGGAAGCGAGTGGGGAGGTGAAGTATTTTTTCTCATTTATTTCCTTAAGAATTTTAATTTGATAACAATTTTTGGACGAAAGAAAGTTTATCATTACGTGTATGTGTGTATGTATGTGTGTGTATGTGTGTTATGTAAGTATGTGTAGGTGTGAGTGTTGTATAAGTGAATGTGTGTTTGTATGTTTGTATGTATGTATGTATATATGTATGTATATGTATTATGTATACTAATAAATCAAACAATAGACTAGGAATGACATACAGTAAAGACAAAATCAACATCACCCCCCCCATCTATACACAGGGGGGTGGGGGGTAATTAACACAGGTAAAGGTGTATAAGAGAGGACTCACCTGGGCAGGGTATTGGTGGAGAGGAAGGTGACGTCATCCATAGTAATATACCCACTACCTACCCACCTACGACCATACCCCCCCCCCCACCCCCCTTTTGGCTTCTCGGGGGAATGGATGATGGTGGGTGAGTGTTTGTGGATGATGGTGGGTGGATGTTAGCGGGTGGTGCGAGTTGGTGGATGTTAGTGGGTGATGGTAATATTGAGTGACGGTAATGAGTAACAGTTGTAAGTGACGTTAATGAGTAACAGTAGTATGTGACGGTAATGAGTGCCGGCCCGAGTGACGGTATTGAGTGACAGTAATTAGTGACGGCCCGAGTGACGGATCTGAAAGAGAGAAACAAATTAATGAATACAATTGTCATTTTAACAAGTCCAGGAACTGTTAAATTATCCACGTGATAAAAACATGTTAATATATCACTCCAGATTATTACCTGTTAATGATTTACCTGATGATTAGACACCCTAACACTAACCTAACCTAACCTAATGCTAACCTAACCTAAGCAGACAAAGGCAAAAACGCAAACAAGAAGGCAGACAGACTGACAGACAAAGACACAGACAGACAAACAAGAAGATAGACAGACATACAGACTGATAAACAGGAAAACAGAGAGACAGGAAGACAGACAGACAGACAGATCACCAAATTCCTCCTCGCGCGTGGGTATAAACGGCATAAACAATATTCATTCCACATTGTTTTATTGTTAGGTGAGGTGCGTGATACATGCTGGTGCTTATGACAGCTGTGAGCACCACTAGATGGGGCGAGTGTTGTGGCGGACAGACAGAGAGAGACAGAGGCAGACAGACAGAGAGAGACAGAGGCAGACAGACAGAGAGAGAGAGGGAGGCAGGCAGACAGAGAGAGGGAGGCAGACAGACAGAGAGAGAGAGAGGCAGACAGACAGAGAGAGAGAGAGAGAGGCAGACAGACAGGTGAGGAGAGTACAGAGAGAGAGAGAGGCAGACAGAGAGAGAGAGCAGAGCAGACAGAGAGAGAGAGAGGCAGAGCCAGACAGAGAGAGGGAGGACAGAGAGAGGGAGGCAGACAGATGAGAGGAGAGGGAGGTAAGTGTGGAGAGGAAAAGAGAGAGAAAGAATGCACATACATTGTACACACACACACACACACACACACACACACTACAAGTATCAAGTAACCTCCTAACTACCCAAAACAAGTTCTGACACAACCTTCTCCTTAACGACCTTCCCAAGTTGTTCGCACGATAACAAACTACCAATTATAAGCCAGAAACGAGCCAGTAGTCAGACTTTGACCATATCACCCGCCATAACAGGTAACATACGCGTCTTGGCCAGGATTCTCAAAGTTTTGTAGCGTTAAGTGTTTCTCCTAAATAAGAATGTGGAGGTGACGTCTAAATGACTTACTTTACTCTACACAAAAGGTAGAATCACTGTAGTTTTCTGTAGTTATTTTGGGTAAACATACTTGATTAAAAGGTAATTGGAGGCTTTACAATATAATAATCCATGGTGGTAGAGTCTCTGAGGGATGGCGACCACAGCCCACCTATAAAAAATCGCCAAAAAATAGTAAAAAACAACAAAACCGACTAAAAATAAAAATCATATTGGTCTTGAGGCAAAATCCCCACAAAAACAATAAAGGTCCAGTTATGGCTAAGCTACAAACCCAGCCACTCATAACCGGCCCTCACTCTGTACTGCGATGGGATTGGTGGATTACCCAAATTGGCTGTAGCGGTGCTGGCGGGCGAGTGTTGTGAAGGCTTAGAGAAAAATCTCTTATCGCTAGCCTGTGAGAGTTGAATCATGGGAAATACAGCAATTTATTAATACATTATATTGAGGATAGTGTAGTGTTGTGTGACGTAGGTGATGTGGACTAATGGTGTTGTGTGGTGGGGGTGTAATAACAGCAGCAACAACAACAATACCAGTGAGAACAATAATAATAATAACTACTACTACTACTACTACTAATAATAATAATAATAATAATAATAATAATAATAATAATAATAAGTGTCTGTATCTCCGCTTTAAAACAAACATTTAACAACAGGGGCGAGTGGACAGGGTAGGTTAGGTTTTGGTTTAATTAAATGGACTGGCTATGTTTACCTAACCACCTATGTTAATTAGTTTACCTGTTCACATTGATGACGTAATTCTTGAGGAGGAGGAAGAAGGGAGAGTAGGAAGGGGAGGAGGAGGAGGAGCCTGTGTGTGTGTGTGTGTGTGTGAGCGTGTGTGTGTGTGTGTGTGTGTGCGTGCGCGCGCGCGTGTGTGAGTTCCTCCCCTCAATTAAAATCAATAAACAAGTGTCATTCAACTCAACTTATTAAATGCCAACCATCTAACATACACGTCCTCACCAGTACACATCACCTGAAGAATAGACACCCTCATGCTAACCTAACCTAACCTAACGCTAACCTAACCTAACCTAACCATAACGTAATGCTAACCTAACCATAACCTACAAGACCTCCCTGGGCTCAACTCGTAATCTTTTGGGTAACTCTACGGACATCGTCACCCACGCTCAATTTACTTCCCAGGCTTTACGTCGTATTCTTAATCTCCTTCAGTACGATGATATTGTGCCTCCTTCTCTCACCAACATTCCTTCCTTCCTCCTTCACTGAACATTCCTTGCCTCCTTCACCAACACTGCTTCCTTCCCTCTCTCGCCAACATCCTCTTTTTTCCTTCACTAGCATTCTCTTCCTCCATCACCACCCTCTCCACCACCACCCTCCATCACCACCACACCTCCACTCACACCCTCTCCACCACCACTCCCTCCATCACCACCACCCCTCCCTCCATCACCACCTCTCCACCACCCTCCTCCATCACCACTCCCTCCACCTCACCACCTCCATCACCACCACCACCTCCTCCATCACTTCACCTCTCCTCCACCACCACCCTCCCTCCATCACCACTCCTCCACTCCTCCTCCATCACCACCTCCACCACCATTCTCCATCACCACCACTCCCTCCCTCCACACCACCTTTCACCACCACTCCTCCATCACCACCACCTCCATCACCACCTCCACCACACCACCTCCTCCATCACCACCACTCCCTCCCTCCATCACCACCACTCCCTCCCTCCATCACCACCACTCCCTCCCTATAGACCATAATGGTAGCCTAAGGTAGGAGGAGTATGGCACCATGGCACCATTACCACAACACAGGAGCCTCATCAGTGTGAATATAAGGCAGAGGGGAGCTCCGTGGCTGTGAGAGAGTGGAGGATATTTACTAGTAGTGCCCTGACGTCTTATGGCGGTGATGGTGATGGTGGTGAGGTGGGGGTGATAGTAGTGGTAATGATGGTAGTGGTAATGGTAGTATTGGTAGTTATGGTGCTGGTGATGATGGTAGTAGGGGTGGTGAGGGTGGTAGTGGTAATGTAGTGATGGTGAGGTGGTGGTAGTAGTGATGATGGTGAGTATGATAGTGGTAGTGATGATAATGGTAATAGTGGTAAAGACATACACAACGACTTCTTTCCCTCTGGGCCACAACACAAAAGCCACTAATACCTGGATATTTTTCAGGTAGACGGAAGGTAATTTACCAAACCTCCTCGCTGATAAGGTAGATGATATTATACTCAAGGGAATGTATAGGGAAGGGTGGCCGTGGATACTGTGTCTTGGCTATTGTAATGGGTTTAGTGTGCGTGTGTGTGTGTGTGTGTGTGTGTGTGTGTGTGTGTGTGTGTGTGGGAGGAGATGGAAGGTAGGGTGGGGTAGCGGCTGGGGAAGGGTAGGGGGTGGGGAGGGTGATGCTTGCCATCCTTTCCAGCATGATGCCAGGAAGCGTTGGTGGCGGACACAGAGCCACTCACAGATGATAATGGGGCGTGTCTGATGTGAGGCCTCAGGTGGTGATGTGTAGGGTGGTGTGGGGGGGTGGGGAGTGTAGTGGTGCTGGGGGTGGTGTGATGTCTGCCTGTCTTTTATCTCTCTCTCTCTCTCTCTCTCTCTCTCTCTCTCTCTCTCTCTCTCTCTCTCTCTCTCTCTCTCCTCTCTCTCTCTCTCTCTCTCTCCACACGTTGAAATCAGTTCTTGCTTTCAGAACAGTTTCTCCTCCATTTTCCTCTACGTCTCTTTTTAAGCTTTTCCTTTAAGATAGTGCCCTTTGTTCTCTATAAGCGCACACACACACACACACACACACACACACTTGGGTTATGTCATGTTAGGTTAGGTTATGCTAGCTTAGGTCAGGTTAGGTCATCCCACTACATTAAAACTGCACCATAATGAATAAATCCACTTTAACCCGAGTTAATGGATTAAACTTAACCCACGACTACATTAAAATCCAGCTACAAGACCCAAGAGAAGTATCAAGTATACCTTCAGGTCGTAACTTGAGAAGCTAGGTGTTAATTAGGTGGTGGGCCGCGACCTGCTGAGGGAGAGTGTGGTGGCCTGGCGTCAGATGGGTCCCGTCAGTCGCGACCTGCTGAGGGAGAGTGTGGTGGCCTGGCGTCAGATGGGTCCCGTCAGTCGCGACCTGCTGAGGGAGAGTGTGGTGGCCTGGCGTCAGATGGGTCCCGTCGGTCTGCGCGACCTGCTGAGAGTGTGGTGGCCTGGCGTCAGATGGGTCCCATCGGTGGCTGCTGAGGAGAATGTGGTGGCCTGGCGATGGATGGGTCGGTCGGTCGCGACCTGCTGAGGAGGTATGTGGTGGCTGGCGTCAGATGGGTCCCGTCCAGTCGCGACCTGCAGGGGAAGTGTGGTGGCCTGGCGTCAGATGGGTCCGTCGGTCGCGACCTGCTGGGGAAGTATGGTGGCCTGGCATCAGATGGGTCCCGTCGGTCACCCGACCTGCTGAGGAGAGTGTGGTGGCCTGGCGTCAGATGGGTCCGTCAGTCGCGACCTGCTGAGGGAGAGTGTGGTGGCCTGGCGTCAGATGGGTCCCGTCAGTCGCGACCTGCTGAGGGAGAGTGTGGTGGCCTGGCGTCAGATGGGTCTCGTCAGTGTTACCAGATCATTACCGTCGAGAACTCTTCCATGTGGAGCGGTTGGTTAGGTTAGGTTAGATTAGGTAAAGGTTAGGTTATGGTTAGGTTAGGTTTTAATAACGCCATCTACCTGGAAAACAAGAAAAGGTTAATATTTCATGAGTTTGATGACTTAGCTTAGTTAGGTTAGGATAAGTTAGGTTAGGTTAGGTTCCATTAAGTTAAAATACACTATCTAATAACTTCAATCTATTTATAAACTTGTTCTCTTGTTCACTCACTCAGCCCCGTGTTGAACAGAACATTAGCCAGTGTTCTCAGAGTTAACATAAGACTCCAATAACACCTTTAATGTGGCGTGAGAGCCTCTATTAGTGGCGTTAATGGCCTCTGATGACCTAATATATTTGCCTCCACTGTGCCACTAGGATTTTGTTAAAGCGAAAAGGAAAAAATTAAATTGAGTTGAAAAATAAAAGTGTTTGGGTGTTGTGTGTGTGTGTGTGTGTGTGTGTGTGTGTGTGTGTGTGTGTGTAGGGTGGCATGCATACATAGATACATATATATATACTTACATATGTGTACATGGGGTGTATGTATG